CACAAACAATTTATTCCTGTTTGTCGTTTGGGTATTTTTAGGAATCCTGTGAAAATCAAAAGATATGAAAGCCTCATTGTGTAAGTCTCAGCTGCTTTTACATTTTTTTACTACTCAAAGCTCTTGTGAACCTTTACTGTTTTACTTGTTGAAAAATAAAATAAAATATCTTCGGCGTGTTTTCAGTTAGAGAGGCTTGTAAGTGAAATGAGGCTTTTCCATTTGTTTTGCTGAAACACCAGCAAGACCAAAAAGTGACATTTCAAAGGTTAATGGAGTGTGATTTTGATTCTCAGTCAGCAAATACAGCATGTATGTGTCGGTGTGGAAAACTGTCTTGTTGCCCTGCAGGGTCTGTAAACTCATATTGATTTGTGTTAAGTGTAAGCAGGCTACACAGCATTGTGTGATATCACTGTGCAGAAAACACAATACTGGATATTGAACTGCTCAACTTGTTTYAGAAAAGAGTAGCACAATGATGTGTTACATGATACAAAAAGTTACAAAATACCCACAACTTTTTTGCACCTTCCAAAAGATCTATCTCAGGGCCAGAGACCCTTTTTCATACTCAGTCCAATATCAATCACGTCTACTGGTTTTATTTCTATTTGCAATTTGTTTCACAGAACTGCACCTGGGTCAGGGTCACAAGACCAGAGATGACTGAAAGACTGTGTCCAGTTTGCTCACATTCACAAAACATTTATTTCCCTTTAGTCTTTATACCAAAAATACATTCCTGACACATTTTGTCTCCGATCAGTAAAACAGAAAAAGGAAGTTATCCAGGATAGCTGATTCAACCTTCTGGCTTCTTTAAACTGACAACTTTTTTTTAATTGGCCTTTTATAACTTACTGAATCTGATCCCAGGTGGCCTATTTAATTCTTTTTGTTCTACAAATTGTCAAACATTATCTGAGTTCATCTTTTTTTTTAGCTGAATTTAGCACATCCAGCTGACAAATTCTATTTTTACATTTCTAAAAACAGGATTGATGTATTATTTTATGACCTCTATGTTAACTAGGAAAAAAATCTGAGTAGATGAAACAAACAAAATGGTTCCCAGTTTTCCAGACTGATGAATTATATTTTTATTCCATTGTTTTTTTTTTTTTTTTACATAAAACATGTAAAACTTTGCTTGTTAGCATGGGACAGGTCCTACAAACCACCTATGCAAGATGCTAGTGAGCTGCAGCAATAGGCTTCACCACTAAAACTCCATTAACGCTGCTGAAGTAGAAGCTACTTAACTGTCCTCTTTGTTATGATATTCTCATCTTTGAAGCTCAAACTAAACTGATCTGTTTTATAACTTCTTGATTTTAAGGTGTTTAACACTTTTCAAATTCTGCTTTAAAAATTAAACCAATGACCCACCACACAAAAGATCCAACTAACGTGTCCTCCAGTGTTGCATGGACCATCAGCCGTTGTGCACTCACAACTAGGGTTGGCCAAATTCACTTTGTTAGCGATTAATCAACAATAAAACTGTCAACAATTAATATTTTCCACTTTGAAATTACTGCTATTATATGTGATGTGATGAAGTATTCTTGTGTGCGACATGAGGCAATGCATGTGAGCATAATGGTGGAAGGTGGCATGGAGACAATGTTGGCAACATGCAAGTTGTCATCTATTAATCATTATATTAACTGTTATTGACTAAATGCCACAAATAATCATGATAATTTTTAATGTAAATATTGCCCCATCCTAAATCACAACATTAATTTACCGTTTAGTTCTTATAACTACTTATAATGAGACTCGCAGTCTTCAGAAACCTCAACAACTTCTCCCAACTTTGTAACATTTGGTTCAAAACACCAAAATGAGAGTCACGGCTGAAGAAACAAAAATTCTGTATGTTTAATACTCAGAAATTACATTGAATGACGTGCACAAACCAGAAGTTGTTCTAAATAAATGCCCAGGAAGAAGCAGCCTTTTATTTTAAAGATTGACAGATTTCACATTTCTTTAAAAAGATTCGGAAGATTCAGCTGCTACGTCAAGCTGACACACGGATATTGTGTTTAACATTCAAAGGCAATGTGCAATGAGCGTGCCACAGAACTAGGAGGTAATTAGAAATACTTGAGTTGACTTTTTTCTTTCTCGATACTTAAAAAGCCACGCAGCACTCACAGCTGAAGGCACACAGATGTCGAGGCTTGTAAATAGAGTTTGGAGAAGAGCTTGTTATGATTAAATGAATCTGATTGTGTTGTAACCCTGAGGTACAGATTGGAGGCACCAAGTGAGGGTTTATTTAGCATCACAGAATGCCGACATGCATACAGTTTAAGTGCCATGTGRGAAATTAGATTTGACTTTATGTTATGTTAAAGCACAGAAAATGAGCTCAGAGGGACTGACATGGGTCTGGGCAGACCGGTGGATCAGTAAATGCATTGGTGGATGGTTGGTTTTGATGATGGATGGRTGATAGATGTGTGTCTGATACATTGCAGGAGTTCTTTCCTTTCTTTAGTGATAAAAACCTCAAAGGGGCTTCAAAATCCATTTCTGTTTTTATCTTGGCAAACCTGTCAAGATAACAAAGCCAAAGGTGGAAAACTAAAGCAGAGAGCTGCACTTAAAAGACAACATGGGGTAACTGAGCTAGTAAATGTATGTAATTGGAATTCCAAATACAGCATTGGGGTAAAGGTGTTGGAAAATAACACAGTGACATGGTGAAACTGGTTTAACGCATGAATTACAATACTTTAAAACCAGTAAGGATGCGAACGTCGAATGTCCTCAATCTATAATAACAGGGTTTTGAAGATGGGCTTTCAGTTTTGTTCACTTCAGATCAGCCTTAGTATCAATGCTTTTGTGTTGAAAAAATATGTTCAATTGAAAGCCCGAATTAAGTGGAGGAAACGAATCCAGTTCTCACACTGGAATATTTATTTGCAAACATGTAAACTTCATGTAAACCATTCACTCAGATCCTCCCTCAGGTGTTGTAGTCTGAGCAAATGGCCTTGTTTCTTTGCATAACAGGTTTTCTCCAGAACCAATTCRCGCCCATGGAAATGGCATCATGGCAAAAAAGAAAGTGACTTCACATTACCATGTGATTTAATTCTCAGACAGGAAGTTCTACATCTCTGATACATAAAGATTATTGCCCAGTCCCAATATTCRCCCTACACCCTACTACACCCGCCTATGAAGTGTGTACTAAGTCAAAGTGCACATAAGGGTTCMAGTGTGCAGGTTACAACCATGCAACAATTGGAGAATTGGGACAGTACAGGTTTCATCGTCAACTTCTGCCTCTACGTTGTAACCGCAACATCGAAAATGGTGGGACAGTCACTGTTTTGGCAATGTACTGCTAAAATATATATTACAACTACAACAAGCAATAATTTTTAGGACAAAAAAGCGCATGAATCAAAGGAGGCTTAAACACCAAACCCTCAACAAAGCTTGCTCGGTGGAAATTCTTCTTCTTTTGATTTCATTGGCGGGTGGCAGACTAATTTAAGTGCATTACTTCTACCACTACTGGAAGGTGCTCGATGGATGCCTTTTAATTAAAAATGTCACATACAGTGATGAATTGTGGGTAATACACTTTGCCTAAGTCCGCTTGGATGTGCGCTTAGCCAAAGTATGGATCAAGGGTGCAAAGGGGGCGGGGCGAATGACCACTTTGGAGAATTGGGACCCGTTACACACTCAAAACTTTCAGCTGGACCACACGTTTGATGGACACAAGGGTAGACATGTGAGCATTGGGACTGGGCCTATGTGTATATCTGTTCTTTTTTATTATTATGGCATATGTTAACTAAATAGTTAGTGGTAACTCAGAAAACTTCCAAGAGCACTACAATTAAACACAGTAATATACAAGGATGAGTTTCCACTGCTCATAAAACCATTTCAAAGTAAAAGTTTTAAAAAATGAATGTAGATGTGTAGTGCGGTTAAGAATCAATAAAAAACACATTTTGGTGTCAAAAAGTAAGACTACTTGTGGAATGTTAGAATTTTCAAACAAATAATGTACCAAAATCAATGAAGCACTTACCTACTTTGTAAATGCAGCACTAACAGGTTTCGCTTTGACTGTGCCTTTCATAAACACTWTTATTTGGTATGAACTCATGATTTGCATTTTAGGTGATTCTGTCTTTGTTTTGAGAGCCAAGCATAGCAAAAATCAGTCTTAGCTTGCTTAACACCATCRTAATTAAAGCACTGCCACTGAAAAAATGGGAAATGGATCTAAAAAAAAGGATGTCTGCTAATGAAAACTTATGATTAATGGAACAACTGTTCAATCGATTAATTCCCAGCCACAGAAGATTTACAGCCAGAGGAGACTTCATTTCATGTTCGGATGGTTTGAAGATATAAAATTTAAAAAAAAAAACTTTCAAGCTGATATCTGCCTTGACTGTTACCCTTCATCCACAAAAAACCCTCTYATGGTTATAAAGATGTTTTTAAGGTGGTATGTGCAACTTAAACATTTACACCAAGGAGGCAAACTGCATTTAGCATTTTGTTTTATTCTTTTGGGTTGATTTCTTAAACAAAAATAAATTAATTAAATTAAAAAACAAAGATAAATATGTGTAATTTAATGCTTAGAGAATTCCATCCTTTCCCTAATGTGGGTACAAAAAAGTACTAAAGCGAAGATATTGCAGATTGGTATTTCACATTAAAARCAAAGAGGTAATTTAATACCATAACCTAAATTATTTCACTTTCAGTGATGCTGGCCATACAGGAAAGAAGGCAAATGCATCCATTTTTGCTTGCGTTGTGATAGAAGTATTACGTTAAACCCAGGGAATCCATTTTTATTCATTTTTTTTCTGGATTGTTAAAATATTAATTAATCCTAGTTGTGTTGGTGAGTGAGTATCCTAACCTGTGTTTTATTTACAATTATGTTTGCAGTAAAGCTCTTTTTTCTCCTCTCTGTTGTTATTTTCTTTTCCCAGGTTGGGGGACACACCATGCTACCTATTCGCTGGATGCCCCCAGAGAGCATCATGTACAGGAAGTTCTCCACAGAAAGTGATGTCTGGAGCTTTGGAGTCATCCTGTGGGAGATCTTTACTTATGGGAAGCAGCCTTGGTTTCAACTGGGTAACAACGAGGTAAAAAAGAGCTTCAAACATGTCCATAAACAAGATAGTACATGAAAGGATGGATATTTTTTATTGCAGAACAAAACAGCTTTTTCTTTGAGATTAAACTGAAAGGGGGAAAAAAAGCTGAATTCTTTATATTCAACTGAATTCTGAGCTTTTTAAGACCCAGTGCCATTATTTGCCTTTGTGATTTACTGCCTTTTCCCCCTTCATTCTCTGAGACACAGCCCAGTCCATCAAAGTGATAAATTAATGACACTTTGCTAAAAGACAGGATGATGTAATACATAACACCCATGAATGTTTCTGTGTTTTCTTTACTGAGAGCTTGACTTTGTGCCAGTATATATA